GTCCAAGCTGCTCTGCCTGCTCAGTCTGGAGCCCATGGTGTTGTTGTTGTTTGTTGGCTTGTTTCTTTCTCTTTTTTTTTGACACAGTCAGACAGCACCACTACCAAAAGGACAATCCCATGACGAGCTCCAGTTGCCCGTTTCCAGCAGATGCTCCTAAGTGGATGGTAGAGAAAAAAAAACAACAGCGTCGTGTTGTCTGGCTCTGCGACTGGCTGTCAGATGGCTGGGGATCCGGTACAGAGCCACATAATATCCTAGAACGCTCTAAACGATCATCGTTGCCTCGTGCACCCGTCACGCGTTAGTATATCTCGCTTTGTTTTTCTCCTCCGTCGCCGCCACTGTGCGCTACGTGCGCCAGGCTCAGATGATGATGATGATGCTCCGGCTGCTTCATCCTCCGGTCGTGTCTGCTTTTACGCTGCTGTTTAGATTTGTGCAACGTGGAGAGTCCGACCAATCGCAGCATCTGGTGCCTGCTGCGCGTCTCTCCTCCCAGCCATAAACCCCCCTCAGCCCTCTCCCTCTCCTCCCCGTGCAGCTGCAAAAAGGGGAATCAAATCACAAGAATATTCAGCACGTGATACCAATGTAAGCAAAAGAATCGTTGAAAGAAAGGGATTTTTTTAAAAATGCTCTGAATGTGCCACTTTCAGTTTGATTTTTTTTTCTCTTAGGGGGGTCTTCGGTTTATCTTCCAGAAGACCTGAAAGTTTGTCTTTTAGCTCCAGATTCTCAAGTACGTGCTTCGCCATGGGCCCCGGTATAAATCTGAAATTTCTCTTTTGGCAGTCTTGTTGTTGTTCAGCCTTTGCATGAGCTGTCAGCTCCTGTTTGCATCAATCACAGCTTCACTAAATCACAGAATTCACTGAAAAATGTTCACATCTCGTCTTTTTGTCACATTGCCATCTCTCTTTATTTATTTCCACGGAGGTCGGTGAATGGGGGGCCCCTGAGGTGCAGCCAGCGACATAATAGACAGCTCTCAGTTATTTCAGCCCCCATCCACACCTATTCTATTTGTAGCCCAGCTCCCATCATTGTGGCTTTAAGGACTTTGAGCCTGACTTGACCTTATTTGCTCTCATGATTCAGGCTCACTCTTGTTTAGTGGAGAGCACAGCGCTGTGATCTGTTGTCTAATAATTATTTTCCCTGGCTCTGGACCGGCCCAGCTGCATATTTTTTTTAGAGGTTGTAATTATGATTGACCAGTGCCCTTAATTTAATGCAGCATCCTCACGGCACTGACTTGTTTTGTCAGATCCTTGACTCTCGGAGCAATGCCGGTAAAGCGACCCAATTGAACAGCTTGCTCTAAATGCTGCTTTCCTGTTTCAGGTTTGCAAAGTTTTTGTGACAAGAGAATTAAATCTGCACCTAGAAACAGTTAATGGACATTAAAAAAAGATTCTCAACCCAGTGGCCAACTTTTGGTGGGGTCTGGTGATGATTAAGGTGCACAGATTCTGTTTGATTTACATATCGCAGGGAGCACTACTCTGTCAGCTTTATTATATCCTGTGTGATTGCAGCTTCACAGTGGCAGCAGGGTTATCGCTGTTTGAAAGAGACTCACATTTAACAGGCAGAGAGGGTCTAATGGGACAAATTAATGAGTACACATACATACATTTTTATTACTATTTTAAAGCTCTTCTAAGCTTTGCATCAGCCCATTATCTACAATATGGGGAATTCTCTTATTGTAATATTCAGTATTTGTTGTCCTTTTCTGTCTTGACAAGCCAAAGCACGTTAATCTATAACTGTTCTACCTGAAGATGTTTATGAACTGCAGGTTAATTGATATCAACATGATGTAGCACGACAAATGAAATAGTAAAAAAAAACAAAAAAACAAAAAACAGGTCATGGTCAAAATAGCAAAGAAATCACGCAGCCCAAGAGGATAACAGTGAAACAGTGATGTCATTTGCTTGCCCCCAAGCAGCTTAGTGGTTAGGATGCTGACTCTGAGTAGCAACCATTTTTCTGGGGTTGGCAAAACTGAGCTTTTGTTCTGCTGTTGAATCCGTGTAGACTCAATAGTAATGTTCTATTGTGGCCGTTTACTACTGTCACATCTAATTATATTATGATGACTCATATATAATAAGCAATTTCTTCTTCTTCTGGCCTCTTCTCCTATAGATCACCACAGTGAACATTAGCCTCCATCACGCCCTATCCCCAGCATCGTCCTCTGTCACACCAACCCTCTGCATGTCCTTCATTTCTTAGTGGTCTCTCTCTTTTCCTCTTGCCCGACAGCTCCATCTCGGACACACTTTGTCCAATATATTCACTATCCCTCCTTTGCACAAGTCCAAGCCATCTCAGCCTTGCCGCTCTGATTTTATCTCCAAGCTGCTCAGCCTGAGCTCTCTCTGATATTCTAATCCCATCCATTTTCGTCACACCCCAAGAAATCTTCAGCATCTTCAGCTTTGCCTTCTCTCTTTTTGTCAGTGCCACTGTCTCCAAACCAAACATCATAGCACGTCTCACTACCGTATAGTTTCCCTTTCATGCTTGCTGCTGTTCCTCTGTCACATATCACCCCTGTCACTAATCTCCACCCTACCTCTACTCTCATCTTCCCCTCTCTTGTGCTTTGGATGGTTGAACCCAGGTATTTAAACTCATCCACCTTCATAACCCTTACTCCTTGCAGCTTCACTGTTACACTTGTCTCCCTCACATTCACACAAATGTATTGTTTCTTGCTTCGTTCCTCTTCTCTCCAGAGTATACCTCCACATCTCCAGGCTCTCTTGCACCTGTTCCCTGCTCTCACTACAGATCACAAAGCTGTCTGCAAGCATCACAGTCCATTTAGACTCCTGCCTGACCTCATCTGTCAGCCTGCCCATCAGCACTCCAAACAAGAAGGGTCTTAGAGTCAATTCTTGATAAAATCTCACTCCCACCTTTCAGTCTTATTGCACACCTCACCCTACGATCCCTGTCCTCATACATATATCCAAAAACAGCTGCTGTAGAAAAAATGTAACTCCAGTTCTCTTAATTTGTTCACATACCACCGATCAGGTTTCACTGTTGTTGTGTGGGCCTATTAAAGTAGTGGCTGTGGCCTTCAGTTTTCCCACTCCACCTAGCAGCGATACCGTCACTTCAAATTGCACCCCTTGGCCTATAACTCACAAAATCAGTCAAAAATACCCCCAACACTGCACACTGTGTTAAATTTGACCCGTTCATGTACACTGTAAGAGGTTGCAAACAAAAAAAGACTGGGTGGCCTCTGTTCTCCCTCATTTGTACAGTGCTGCTATGACAGAAGCAGCTTAGCTACCAACTCCTAATTGCAGCACACATCCCAGAGCCTGTCTGTGGCGTCCCTATCATTAAAAGGAGCGCAGCCGGCCATAAAAACACATTACATCACCTTTCTGCTCTCCATGTTTCTGCAGGCTGCGTTTCACCTGTCGCCGAGGAACAACAGCAGCGTGTGATCAGATCTGCTGCTGCGTATACAGGAATAAACAAGCCTCCCTCTTTATTGTACGAAAAACAACTGGAGGGAAACATGGTGGGTAGTGTGAGTGCATCGCTCCCATCAAAGTCAAAACGAAACCTATAAGCCTCTAAGCTGACGGATAAAAATATGAAAAGAGCTCCAGCTGATATTTCACACAACAACTCCGGTGCAGTGACAGTGCTGTTCGCATTAAAACTGAAGGAAGCACTGTGATCTGTAACTAAACAGAAATATAATTGCTCTCTTCTGCTATAAATCAGCTCTGCCTGCTGAACAAACTCCCCTCTCTTGGGGTGGCTCTGAACATGGGAGATCCAGAACAGGATATAGTAATTAGATTTAGAGACAATCATAGCAGCAGCAGCAGCAGCAGACCACAGGCTCCTTTGACAGCACTTTATCAGTGTGGCCCAGCAACAGGAGTGCACGCTGGATTAGCCGAGGTACCACAGAAGGGTATTTGCTGTTCTGCAGCTACCGTCACCGACGCTGCCAGCTTGGACTTGTGCTCCCGGGCGAAGGCGAAGGCATCTTAATCGGTCTGAGGACGCCTGCAGAAAAAGCCAAATAGAATGTGACACGGTTACTGAGCATGGCAACGCTGCTGGCCGAGCCAATCACACAGAGCCCCGAGTCAGAGCTGAATGCTGCTTGCATCTGTAAACAGATCACTCTCACCTTCACTTTGTCAAACCTGGCATATTGATATCCGAGTGAAATGGAAAGTTATAGAGCACCAGAAAGACAAACTTGAGAGCTTCACTCCAAAGTGATCAGTGATGCGAAGAGCAGTTGTTGTTTGGAGAGAGAAATATGATGGAAATAATAGATTGCAGCACCTAAATTCAGATTTTTTTTTAAAGAATTGAATGTGGATGTCTGGAAATGTGTTTTTTTTTCTGTCAGAATTTTGAACCTTATTGTTTTTCTTCCAACATCCCCAAGAGCTAACACACACACAGTAGGCACTCCAGAAAGCTTTGATGGTGATTGCTTTCCACCTCTCATCTTCCTCTATGCTTTTTTTTCTCTCTCTCCATATATATACACATTTCTTTTTCTTCTTCTTAATAAAAAAACAAACAAACAAAAAAACAGCATTGCTCATATGAAAGGACTGCTCATCAGAATCACAGTGTGACACCCGAGCGAAGTCACACCTTCAAACCAAGATGACACAGCACACATCAGCGGAGACTTTAGTTAGTTATATAAAACACTGTCATTATTGCTAAGGCTCAGTAAGAGTCAGGTCATTCCTTCTGTTCTGTCCAGCATTTCCAATGAGTCTGTGAAACAAACAAACCAAAGGTGAGTGAAATAAAAATGTGGTGTTCTTTTTGCTTCAGATTGTTAAACATATGTAAATGTTTGGCTCCCAATTAAAAAATAATGATAGGCGATGTCTGGAGGAGAAGACTGTTGCTTCTGAGCTGAAGAATCCGGTGTCTTTCCGAGGTGTGCTGATTTCTCCCCTCCCGGCAGAGAAATGGTTGGGAAGTCCCTGATTGCTGGTCTGGTGGTCCTTCTGGTGGCTGCAGTGAGCCTGTTCCTGGGGGTGTTCATGGGTTTGGGGAAGAAAAACACACCTCCCACTTCAGACCACTTCTACTCAAAGGCCGCCGTGGCTGCTGATGCTGGAAAGTGCTCGGAAGTGGGGAGGTAAGACGACATATAGCAGATGCCGTGCTCTTCTGTGCGCGTCTTAGCTGTTAAGTGTATTCTCTTGTTTCCAGGGACATTCTGAGGAAAAACGGCTCTGCTGTGGATGCTTCAATCGCTGCCTTGCTGTGTGTTGGCCTTTTGAACGCTCACAGCATGGGCATCGGAGGAGGGCTCTTCTTTGTCATCTATAACGCTTCCACAGGTGAGCGTGCCTCATTAGTTAGAAATTGCCAGCACAGACAACCGAGGAGACACTGATCAATCAGTCCTCGTTTTCTGCTCAACAGGAAAGGTGGAAACCATTGATGCGAGGGAGACTGCACCCATGAACGCCACTGAAGACATGTTTGGCAACAACACTAAGCTTTCTCGCACAGGTAGCACCTTGCTGTGCTCTGCTGGAGTATTTCCCGGGTGCTGATTGGCCAAATGTAGACCAGATTTCATTTAATTCTCAAAGGTTGTTGATGCTACCCAAGATCAAATAGGGATTTAGAGTCCATCGAGCTCTCGTCAGATGTTCTCACATTCTTAACAACCTTATTATACCTTCCTTTGCCCCCATTTAAAAGCTCTGGGACGAGAACACTTTAGCGATAGATATCTCACACTATCTTGATGTCTCTTAGCATGGTGGTCCCTCACTCAGAGAAGGGGTAGAAAGAGAGCTTGTGAAATTAAAATCAGTGGTACTGCTGTTTCTGCGTGACAGGTGGACTGTCCATAGCCATTCCGGGAGAGATCCGCGGTTATGAGATGGCACACAAAAGGCATGGCCGGCTGCCATGGAAGGAGCTGTTTGAGCCCAGCATTGCCTTGGCTCGTGACGGATTTCCGATTGGAAAAGCCCTGGCTCATGCAATCTTAAAAAGCAAGGATTCCATTCAAGGAGACGCCAACATGTGGTGAGGGTGATATTCTCATATCTGAATACTTAATAATACACTGTAAACCGAAAGAAATAGATATTTGGGGAAATGTGTTCACTTTAACTACAAGTTAGAGGAGAAAATACTATGCTTATGCCAGCATGTATTAAGCTACAGCCAGTAGCCTAATACATGTTGCAGTAGATATTCTTGGCTTATTAGACTATTCTTAGCTTAGTTCAGCATCAAACCAGAAACAGGGGAAAACAGTTGTCTGAATCTGCTGCTGCTGGAGGTAAAGCAACCCACCCAGCAGCACATCTAATGATAAATGCCTCATCATTACCTCAGAATCTGAGCCAAATAAATGGCTGACCCTGTTTATTTCACTGAAATAAAAACAGTCTTCCTAGAGTCTACCATTTATATACTATATACTATTCTCTACTTTAGAGAATACAAGAATAAGAAGATGGAAATGAGCATAGCAGGTGTGCTTTAGCAGAAATGACAGAGGTACAAAAACCTAAATGAATCAAAATGTTAGATGGAAATAAAATATCTATAATAACTGTGCTTCATGTCAAACTGTGCCTTTATATATATATATATATATATATCTTTTAAAAACACATTGTGAAAATTATTCAGATATTACTCAGTGGCTCTGTGTTTCTTTTCTACACCCTTATCTTGCTCTGATAATTGGGTGCATTGCTGTTTACCACAGCGGTTCTTTTTAAAGGTCTCAATTTCTACTTACAATGGCTTTAATATTCTTTAATACATGTTTTCTTTTCTTCCCTCTCTCAGCGAGGTCTTTTGTGATTCTCAGAGAAACATCCTGAAGGAGAATGATATTGTTAGATTCCCAAAGCTGGCTGAAACATACCAAAGAATAGCAGAAGAGGGGCCTGATGTGTTTTATAACGGGGCGATGGCACAGAACATTGTTGAGGACATCCAGACGGCAGGTGCTCTGCTGTATCCTCATCCGCTGTTGTCTTCAGATGCTTCAGTTGTTACTCCTCCTATTGAATTCACAACGACACTTCTGTACTGGTTCCAGGTGGTATCATCACCCTGGAAGATTTGTTGGAGTACCAGCCCGTGCTGAATGAGAACCCTCTGAAGCTGAACGTCGGGGAATACACCATACATGTCCCAGATGCCCCCTCCAGTGGCCCTGTGCTGGCACTCATACTCAACATAGTGGATGGTGAGCAGCCTGGCTGAGTGTTTGTGCAGCCATGCAGAAGAGAGGATGTCAGGTTTCCCCAGGTCATCTCTAGAATGTTTCTTTCCCTTCTTTGGAAGCAGAAAACTGAGCTGCTGCTTAGTTCTGCCTGCCAAATTTAATTTACCATCAACACTCCATCTGTTCAGGCAGAGAATCATTAAGCCATGCTTCATAATAAAAGTGGCATCATTCATTTAAATTGAGCACTGAATGTGTTCATATAAGAAGTTGGAGGGGTGCGTGCCTGCACATTTATTCTATTTGTATTGCAGTTTTTAATAACATGCCATTGACTTTTAGCACAATAACAGAGAAGATCAGATCAGGCCAGTAAATTGTCATCTAACTGTCATTCGCTCCAGATGTATTTTTCCTGTGGATATATTGCAGGGTACAACTTCTCAGACACGAGCGTCTCTACAGCAGAGAAGAAAACTCTGACGTACCATCGCATTGTAGAGGCTTTTCGTTTTGCTTACGCCAAGAGGAGCAGATTGGGGGACCCTCGGTATCTCAACATTACTGATGTAAGGGCTCCAGCTATAATCCTCTTCATTCGTTTTTTGAGCATTTACGGCATAATTTTTCTCACTGTGGCCATAAAATTGTCTCCTGGAAACTCTTTAACTCTTAAACAGTCTGAAATGCCTGTTTTCTCCTCTTTAATTGATTTGTTTTGCTCCTTTCAGCTAATCCAAAACATGACCTCAGACTACTTTGCTGATGGCATAAGGAGCAAAATTACAGATGACACGACCCACCCAGACAGCTACTATGAGCCCGAGTATTTTGTTCCAGACAACCACGGGACAGCTCATCTATCAGTCATTGCTGAGGATGGCAGTGCTGTGGCAGCAACCAGCACCATCAATCTATAGTGAGTTTCTCTGACAAGGCTGACATCAAGTCAGTAAATGTGCCTCTCAAAAGCCATGCATGTAAATGAACTGTCTTCACTACAATGTAGCGCACTGAGTGAAGGTTTAAAAAATGGCTTTATTTCCCCAGCTTTGGTTCAAAAGTCATGTCTCGATCTACTGGGATCATTTTTAATGATGAAATGGATGACTTCAGCTCTCCATACATGACCAATGGGTTTGGAATCCCCCCTTCACCCAACAACTTCATTCAACCAGGTGTGACTGAAATGAGTTATCACACTAGTACTTCTCTAATCCCCTGTGGGGCAGTGACCTTTAGTCAGTGTTGATGGATATCAGTGTTTGCTAAATTAAGCCTCATGTTTTTCAAAGATAGATGGTGTTACTAGATTCTTCCTCTGGTTAGGATGATTCAGAGGAGGGCCTTTTACTCATCCTCAGTTTTGCTGCCATACAATAAGCTAATCGCCTCTCTCACTCTGTGGGTCACCGGCTTGTTGTAGTGTCTCAAATAGACTATGATGTGATTGAGCTGAGTTGTTGACATTCAGCATGACTTTGCTAAAACTATCAGGCAGTCAAATCCACCTTCTTTTTACAATCTGTTTCTAGGCAAAAGGCCGCTGTCTTCCATGTGTCCTACTATCATATTTGACCAAGAAAACCAAGTGAAGATGGTTGTAGGAGCATCCGGGGGCACAAAAATCACCACAGCCACAGCATTAGTAAGTCTAATTCATTCAAATGCATCACCCTCATGTTGACTTGGGAATGTGAAACCTCCCATACATGTTGTCATTTTTCTTACCTAAAAACAGGTAATCCTCAACTCCTTGTTTTTCAACTATGACCTAAAGAAAGCCGTGACAGAGCCACGACTTCACAATCAGCTTAATCCAAATATGACAGTAGTGGAGCAGGGCTTTGAAAAGGTGGGTCACACAGACAGCAACATAGCTTAGCAGTATTACAGTTGTATCATAAGCAAAGAATGTGCATGTATGAATGTACCATGCATGTGACCATTAGTGTACTATGACTATAAAAATTGCTGTGAAAACAGGATCAAGTACAAAAGTACAAAAATATGTGTGACAACGAGGATCCAACGACAGCAGAGTTGCAGTTTTTAAACCTCTTTTATTGACCACTTTTCCAAGGTGCAGCTTTCCAGCTGTCCTGCTTCTGTGGCACGCACAGCCTCCTGAACAACATCTTTAACAGGGGACGCATGATTAGGTGATGAGGTCAGGTGTGTGAGTCAGCCTCCCCTGACAATACACCCTGAACCCACTGCTCCACTCCTGCAGCTGAGCCACAAACCACACCCCACCGCAATGTTTATGCATATTTTGTAGAATGAATTTGCTGTGCTCATACTTAGATTGTATATTGTTTACAATAGTTGTTTATTGTTTTAGAGTGCAGCATTTTGCTACTTAGCTGAGTGTAGTGGGAAGTATAAAAGAATGTAGTATAGTATAAGTATATAGTATGTAGTATAAGTATAATATAAAAGAATGAATCTTTGACTTGAAAAACAAAGTTCAAAACAAAAGGGTCACTAGAGCTATAACAAATCCTCCTCATGCTAGAACGTGTGTACTGATTTTCACGACACTTCTTTAAAAAGGTTTTTTTTAGCCTTAAAAGAGTGAAAACAATTCATTTCAATTACATTTATCGAATCCTTTTTAAATAAAGAACCAAAAAACAAAAACAGCCTCCTCAAGGTGCTTTATATTGTAAGGTAAAGATCCCACAATGATACAGAAAAACTCTCAATAATCTGACAACCCTCTATGACCAAGCACTTGGTGACAGCTGGATGAAAAATCTGCCTTTTAACAGGAAGAAACATGCAGGAGAGCCAGACTCAGGGAGGGACAACCATCTGCTATGACCGGTTTGGGGTGAGGGGAGCAAGGCTGGGCAAAAGACACACTATGAAAGAGAGCCAGTAGATTAATAACAACTAATGATTAGAAGTGAGTGAACAAGAAACCCTCCATTCATTGTGGGAAGCCCTCAGCAGCCTAGGCCTATTACAGCATAACTATAAGCTTTATCAAAATGGAAAGTTTTAAGCCTAATCTTAGAGGTACAGAAGTTTTCTGTTTCATGAATCCAAACTCACCCATATGGAAAAGATATATATAAATATTTTAAAGTTTTTATCTGTCTTGTATGAAACTTGTATGAAAAGCATACAAGAGTGAAAACACATATAAGATCCCTTGAAAAATCATATAATGAAACTATGTTTTGTATACTTACTAAAAAATATATGAAAGTAATGAGAAAGTGGCCACTTTCATGAGTAAATCATATATGTTTTACTATTTCTTTTCCATATGGGCAGAGCTGGTTCCACTGAAGCTCACCCTGAGACAAGATGTTATGATATCACAAATGTTACTGAAATGCAATACGCTATACTGCCCATAGTATTTACTCACCCATCCAAATAATTAAATTCCAGTTCCAATCATTTTCATGGTCACAGGTATATAAAACTGAGCTCCTAGGCATGTAGACTTCTTCAACAAGCATTTGTGAAAGAATGGGTGGCTCTCAGGAAGTCACTGAATTTCAGTGTGGTACCATTATAAGATGTTTCCTGTGCAACAAATCCAGTTGTAAAATTTCCTTGCTACTAAATATTCCACAGTTAATTGTTAGTGGTATTATAACACAGTGAAGTGACTGGGAGCAACAGCAGCTCAGTCACAAAGGAGTATGTCACATAAAACCACAGAGCAGGATCACCGGATGAAGAAAGTGCATAGAGGTTGCGAACTTTCTGCAGAGTCAGTTGCTACAGACCTATAGACTTCATGTGACCTTTAGATTAGCTCAAGAACAGTGTGTAGAGAGCTTCATGAAATGGGTTAACATGGCCGAGCAGCTGCATGCAAGCCTTACATCACCAAATGCAAGGCAGAGTGTTGAATGCAGTGATATAAAGCATGCCAACACTGGACTCTAGAGCAGTGAAGAAGTGTTCTCTATATATATGTTCTCTATAAATAATACCACTCATTGTATCTGGTTAGAGACCACGTTTCTAAGATTTTTAGAGCCAAATAACAACAATTTTATCTGAATTTAGCACCAGAGGTCATTCAGACCTTTAGGTCTCTATGATATTCCTTCAATGTGGTGTCTCGCATTTGCCTTCATGGATAGATAAAGCTGGGTATCATGTGCATAGCAAGGAAAATGTATGCTATGCCTTCTCATAATGTTACAAAATGGAAGCCTATATGATGTAAACAGACTTGATCCCAGCACAGAACCTTGTGGGACACCAAAATTAACATTGGTGTCTAAGGAGGAATCCCTCCCTACCTACAGCACACTATAATCTCTGTAATAAAATATTATGGTCATCAGTATGAAATGCTGCATTGAAGTCAAGCAGGACAAGAGTCCACTGTCACAGGCAATAAAAGGATCCTTTGTACAGAAGCTAGCACTCTTTGTGTACTGTGACGAGCAGATGACACTTGCCAGCACAGACTGATCATATCTGAGATTGAAGCATTAATTAACGGTAAGACTTCTTTGAGCAGTCTTAATGGGTCCTAATAGACAGGTCGATGATTTTTAGGAAGCAATTATTGAAATTAACTCAGAAAGATCAATCAGAGTCCTTTTTAAAAAACAAAAACAAATAGAGCAACAAACTCGTTGTTAATCAGATGCCATTTCTCTGCCAGTTACGTACTTTAAATTGTGCATTTGTGAGTTACACCAGGGAGTCAAGCGCTTGTGATTTGATGCTTTCTTTTTTTTTTTAAAGAGGAACCACACTATCTAGGGTTGTATGCTGTGAGGATGTTACACTTATAAGAAAATAATCAACCACTGTGGGAGCAAAGTTTGGGTAGCTGCTCTGTACTGTGTTGGCACACGGTGTTGAAGATATTAAACTTAGTTACGGCAGTTAATGTCGATACAGTCAAATGTCCAGTTTCTGTGCCACATGTCAGAGTAAGATCAAAAGTATGGTTAAAGAGTGAGTGGTCTCATTAACATTTTGAGAGAATAGATTAAATGCTGTGTTGAGGCAGTCATTTTTACAGTTTACATGGATGTTAAAATCACCCACTACAATTGAACTGACAAAACCAAACAGTTGAACCAAAACAGATAAAAACACTGGCAAATTGAATAGAATGGATGGGGAGATGGATGAAATTTAACAAAAAATAAAAATGTTTTTTTTTATTTTTTTTTATTAGAGTGTAGGTTAGGAGTCAGGTTTTCAAATGAATTAAAACTCTGTCTCCATCTTTGGTTGATTAAGAAGCTAGAGTGAAAGATTGTTGCTACTCCTCTGTTCCCACCTCCGAGGATTCTGACCGTTAAGATGACTCAGGCATGAAAGTGTTTGATTTTTTATTTCCTTCTTTCTGTGAGGCCTTCAGTTTCCCTAAATTGGCAATTGGTCATCAGACCTTGATCCAGACCTTGTACTGAAAGAAAAGCCATAACATCACCAGAGTTACAAGGATCCATCCTCTGGACACATTGAAGGTCTACACATTTTTAGACATCCCTTTAGCAGGGTTAAAAACACATAGCAATGAGATTTGATAATAAGGAAAGGGAATCAAGTGTTTCTTTATATATTACTTATCTCAACCAAGTTTTAGATTTATGCACATTGACTTTTACACATGTGCCAGCAGTCAGGAAGGTAAAAAATAATTCCACATGTGTTCTATGCATTACAAAGCCAAAACTCCTGCACAAGACTATTTCTCTATGTTTTTGTATGTGTGGTGGAACTATGCCAGAGTGTCCTGGAGGGTCTGGTCCAGAAGAACCATGTAACGCAGCTGCTAAGGACTCCAGACTCGGTGGTCCAGGCTGTGGTGCGGCAGGGAGAGCGTCTCTGTGCAGAGTCTGACCCCAGGAAAGGAGGCTATCCTGCGGGATACTGAGCATTGCTGCAATTTCTTCTCAGCTCCCCTCAGCGGGACAGTCTCCTCAAAGACACTTGGACAGAATCACAATGAGACGGTGTCTGCACTGAAGACTTAAGCATTATTTAAGCTACGGAGACACAGCCACTGCGCCTTCTCTGAGATTAATTTAATCAAACATGGAAATTAACTCCACTTCAATACCTCTTTTACTCAATTATTTAACATCACTTCATTTCTTTTTTTTGGCATTAATTTTGTGTTCTGAAGTAAAATGAGAGGTTGTATCTAGTTTGACTCTTGTATCATCACTACTGGATACTGGTCAGGGTTGTATTTGAGAACTGAAGCAGAAACCATTTGAACATTCATTTCAGTTCATGTATGACACATCATTATTATAAACATCCAAATATAAACCAACGCTGGGAATGTCATATTAAGAAATGTTCATAGGTTTCAACAACAAGTTGGAGGTTGTCCGCGAGGTAATATCATTTCTTTTGTAAGGAAAAACTCTTGTTAATACCTGGACAGTTTGTTTGGAAAAGGAGGGTTTGTTTATGTAAAACTGGTAAGGGAAAATAAAGAAGCATGAGTTAAAAAAAAAAAAAAAACAGCTGCAAGCAGGTATACCATGAAGACATCTCAGGTTGTTTGCCTGTTTTACTCGAATGTCTGCCCACATTTTTCTCCTGACGTAAGCTGATCCTGAAATGGACACTATTCAAAAGGAAACTGCCCGTGTTGTTTTCTACCGTGACACTATCACTTCTGAATTGTAAATGTTTAATATCGAGTAGAGGTTAAGTCGATGTATAGTGTATTCTGAAAAATACATTTGCAGATATATTTTTCTAAACATGCATTGTTCATATGCCATGTTTGTTGCCATGCTTGTTATTAAACATTTTGAACAAAGATGTTATATTTTACCACAGAAGCTGTGCTATTTCTGAACCGGGATATTTGGCAAGAAATCTGAGGTTAGTGAGAGTTTGTTTTCCAGAGCATGGATTCAATGTCAGAATGACCCAAAATTCAATGTTACTCAGATTCTGTCTGTCTGTATACCAGCGCTATCATCAATTCTTTTTCATTTTTAACCTCCTAAGACCTGAACTCAGTATAATGTCCTCGTAAGTGGATATCAGGCCCTTGCAGAGAAAATTTAAGTATTTTGTGGACATCACCCAAAATGTGATGTCCACATATGTGGATGCCAGGTCCTAGGAGGTTAATAAATCAATTTAAAAAAACAAAACAAACAACAACCATTAATATCCAGACCTGAAGAAAACTACTATAAGCACACAGAGCTATAATGTTGTTTTTTAGCTAAATACCAATCATACATAATGTGAGCGAGATAGAATGTTTACGCTTCTCTTGGTGCATTATACTAATATAATAACATCTGCCAAAAACAAACAACAATTACAGCTGAACCTCATGGAAATGTCAGTAGTTACAGAGGTTACAAACAAATTCAAGTACTTTGCCTAAGTTAAGAGTTACTGAACCATCGTAATGGAAAATATGTTTTAATGCCAAATGTTGGGAAAATTATCAGTAGTTGTTGACAAATTTTACTATGAAGCTCACAGTGAAACAAGAATGACTGTGATGGCAACAAATATCTGCCAGCTTCTTCCAGCTGCTCAGACTTTTCAGTCTGAAATTCTGGACTAACTGAACAGCCGTTTTTAAAGTCATTCGATTACAGCAGCCTAATAAACCATAGACTCAATATAAAAGACTGACACTATGTTGTCACCCATTGGTTTTGGAGAGAGCCTCAGTGTTGGTGTTGTTAGCGCAATTTGGTGGGGCAGAATTTACCATTTGAGCACAAATGGGTGTATGTTATTAGCTAGCGCTAGCAAACTTGGCTAGCAAGCTGCTTCCACAGATTCTATTGGTGCATTCACACCAAATGTGAAGCAACATTATTTCAAAATGCAAACTCTGTGTAACAAGATTTTTTGATGTGAGATTGTGTGCAAGTGAAAATATTTCAGCTACAGCAAAAAGTTTGCTTAACACTGTGTTGCAACAATCCATCAGTTGGGATCCATCAGAGTCATGAAGAGTCTTCTGATGTTATTGATAATAAGAAAAGCAGGTAGAACTATAAGGTTCAATTTCTCTTTCAGATGGACAAAAAAACGAAACAAAAAACAAATAGCTAGGAGTATTTGCTCAGGCTCCTAGCAATTATACTCCTATGGTATAATTTGAAAAGCCTATGTGGTCTCATTGTCCAGTTATTGCATATTCAGGCCACACACCTGCCTGGTAAGCAGACAACAATACCCCAGCCTTATATGGCTGAGGAGTGAAAGAAAAGGACTTGGAGAGAAGTGAGTGAAATCACAGGATGGTAACAGTAAGGATAACAATTTGTGAAAAGAGGTTTCAGAAGCTTGATTCCAATTATCAGCTGTACTCTGCCTCACCCTGTGTCCTGTGAGGGGTGAATGTGTGAGGGTTTCCAACATGATGAAATACTAGTAGACAATGGGAAATTTCACTTTGCATCTGGTGTGATTAACAGCACTGGTAAAATTTGGAATATCCTTCACAAACTTCTTGTATTGGTCTTTATATAGAAGCGGGAAGCAATGAAGTGAAAATACATTGTTACTGTACTTAAGTACAATCTTCAGGGATTTGTACTTTACTTGAGTTGTTATTTTTTCTATTTTTGTTTTATTTGCACACCTTCTTTGACTTGCTAGAAACCAACTAAAAACAGATGGGACAGTTGTGCTAAGACATTAAATGTCAATTGCATTATGGCTGTAGACTAATGACAACATCAGCCTTCAGATTGACTCCCTTTTGTCCTGACTTTAGCAATGAAATTTTGTCTCCCACTGGGAATAACATCTCCCAAGGTAATGGTGCAATCTTGAAAACAGAAAAAAAAGAAGCATTTTTGTTTTCGAGATAGCTTTCCATAATGGATGCTGGACCTGGAGTAATCTTGCAACCTGTATCAGCCACCCTGCATCTGCCTTCTTTAATGCCCTTCTGGGGGAGGCAAAGAAGTCAAAGCAAGAGAGTCACGGAAACTGCAAGTAAGACAAGTATGAACCTTAGACAGGCATTCACAAGATGGAAAGCACTCAGGGACTTGACAGGGCTCAAAAGCAACATTCAGTTAGATTATTTCCACTAGATCAGTAAGAAGCAAAACCTGCGAACTTATTAGCCTTGTACAGAGTGGGGGGAGGGGTGCAGGGACTGCTTCTATTGCCGTTTTATATATAACAGCTACACAAACTATGAATAGATACATTTTATACAATACACTATTAACTTGTTTACTTTAATCAGTAGAACACACACAATGAACAAAGATTAAAGGCTTAGTGGATCGGTTAGACACTTATTTTTTCCCTGTGTGGCTTTTAAGGCAAAGGACTGAAAATAACTCAAAAGGAGAAATGGCATCATTTTCTTATAAACAAGTTTTTTTTAAGGTCTATTAGCGTTACTTTTGTGAAATTTACCTTTATTCTTGGAGACAGCTCCGCTCTGACTGGGTAAAAAAGCATGCACTGAAATCCATATGCTACAAATCTCTATGATAACACAAACTGTCACTTTTTAAATTGAGGAACTGCTACATGAAGTCTACTCGGTGACACTTGCAATTATGCTAAACATGTAAATACATGTATTTTATGGCTCTGTGCCAATTACCACAGCACTGTGGTATTTGCATAGACAACAAGGCTGCCTTTACTAGAAATCTGTTTATCAACAGAAGTACAGGAAGACAAACACGCCACTTAAACTCATTCAACCGGAATTTTTGGGGTTCGAGCACAACGACTGAGAACCTTAGCGTGAGCATATTCCTCCTGCAGGTGTTTCCTGTGACTACTTTTGCCAGACCAAATGTAAATTAACCAAGATGAAGCCAATTATTTTCCTTAAGGAAGCACATGACACAATGAATGTATTACGCATCAGGCAGAACACATTAAATAATTTCCCCCAGGGATCAATAAAGTATTCTGTTTCTGATAAATCAACATAACTGCTGCAAACAATTCAGAAAAATGTGCCATTTATATACACAGTGTTGATATGATTTCCTAATATGGCCTTTGGCTTCATCAGTATTCCTCCTGCAAAATCAGGATCATCCACACTAGTGAATGCATTAATCTTGTCGCCAACTCTGATATTACCCTCATTCATCAAAACGCAGCGGGTGCATCGGGACGCCACGTGTCGGCTTTTGATCTAAACTTTTGACTTTTCTTTCTTTTCTTTTTTTTTTAAACCTACACAGGTGCGTGACATGTACTTCTGTCAGACTAACTTGCTATGGTGGAAGGCATTAAAGCACATGTTATATTTAGGACCATCATTCAAATTCGCATATATCTGTAAGTAAACACACAATGGACACGTTCTTCTTGTACTGGAAACTCATTTTAATTCATGGCTGCTGTCACGTTACATTTTTAGTTATCATCCTGTTACTCCGTGCAAAATGTTTCACAAACACCTCTCTTTCAACACAGCCACAAATGAAATGTTTTAGTCTAGAAAACAGGACAGAGCCTCGGCACCATCTAGTGGTGAGTTGCAGTGATTCAGTTCAGTTTTTGTTGATGGGGCAGTGGGAGCAGTTTAGAGCCGCATGGAGACCGGCGGTGCTGGCGATTGCAGCTCCTGGTCCAATAGCCGGAAGAGCATGGCACTTTTGTTGCTCTCCAAGATTTGTCCCAGAGAGCGGTGGAGTTGAGCCTGCAGATAGTGCACGTCCCGCAGCCGCTCCTTACAGTTCAGCTGGGAGAAATAGGCGGCGGCCTCGTTTAGCGTGTCGAGAGCCGAAGCTGCTAAACACAAATCTGCTGGGACATAAACAGCAGTATGCAAATGTAGATGAAAACCATGCAGCATTATGAGCAGAGGACCAATATATGTGGTGAGGTGGTGTGTCAGGGGAGCAAACTGTTACCTGCTTGCCCTTGTCTGTTTGGCTTGAACCCAGC